TGCTCTTTCTGTGCTCTTCTCCAGATTAAACACAGATATGAAATACTAAATACATTCCTACTGACAGATGATTATGAAATAATTGATTTATTAAAGAAAAAATGCATGTCCTAATTATACTGTCGAAATGATAAATTATTTTACTAAGAAGCAACTGCACACAGTCATCAGGGCACTGCTAGAAACCTGTAACTCAGACTGGCCTACCAAAACCACATACCCTCTCTTTAGAGCAGCATTACAGCAGGCATAACTACTCAAATCACCCTTATATATTTATTAGAAAGATAATCTTTCAGTGTTTTATAGGAAGCTATACTATAATGCCTTCCCACTATCATTATTCAAACAGCTAAATATCAGTATAACTATAGTGAATATTACCTAATAGCTACTTAAAAATAAATATGAAATAATTAGTTAATTCTGCAGAATTACTGCAATGCATCATCACGGACTGCAAGCAATACTTGCCTACACAGAATCTATCCAAAAGTGCTCTTACTTATCATCCACTTCCACATCTATACATTGCTGTCTAAAACACTTAGGTTATATTACACCCCCTAAAATGGAAAACACACCTGAACATTAAACTAGCTTACTAGAAACATCGAGATTCCATACTCACAAAACCCTTGCAAAGCTTCAAATGTTCCAATCATGGTTCCATAACATAAATGGGATCCCCTTAATCCTTCACAAGGATATGGGGATATTTTTTCTAATGACTTCATACCTGCCACGTTTAATACAGAGAGAAATTTTACTCAGTATGGACCTATCTTCACAACATATTGTATCAAAATGCCTCTGTATCCAGCGTTGTCTCTTTCTAATGCACATGGATCTCACAACAGAAATCCCATGAGTTAAGAATTCATTTATAGCATGCTGTTAGACAAGAGAAAGTCACATGCATCTTAAACAGGTACTTCTGTAGGTAGGTTGAAAGCATGAACAACACATCCATTTCACATTAATCTACATGCAGAAAATCAGAGGTGAATATATACACTCATTATAAAATGAAAATGGTAGACAGTCATCTTTCCCTTCTCTACTGACACAGGTTGGGTTAGTGTCTGAAAACTTTCTACTGGTAACTTAAAGACACTGTCTGAGGAAAAAAAGTCTGTTACATAGCAGAAAAACCTTCATAGCAAAGCACCACTATAGAAGAAGAAACCAAACCCAATACCCCTCAAAAGAAGAGATACTTGCAGTATTTGTTGCTTAGTACCAACACTTCTGCTGCATAATTGCGTTACATAAAACAGTTGTCTGCCGCCTTACTACCTGCATGGAATGCAAAATGCAAGTTTTAGAATCGTTTTCCTTTTAGACTAGAGACTCACCAATCTTCGGAAGAAAGCAAAATCCAAGGAAATAAGATGTGCTATTTTAAGACTGATGAACAACACCTGAAAATATCTGAATGATATTAAAAAAAGAAGTTAATGTTCCATTTTTCTTACAGCTTATTTAATAAGAGATCGCATTAAACACGGTTCATTAAAGAGCTACAGAAGCACTGATACTGAATAGCTTGTAGAAGTGCCTTACAAAAACACCGATACTCAGTGACAATCTGTTGCTAGATACAGCAATACGCCAGTCTCTTACCTGAATTATGCAGCTTGTTCTGCTGAGTATATGACTGCTCTAATTTATAGTCAAGTGACAACATGCAAAGTAGCTTACAGTTAGATCTGCTCATTTCTGGTTTGGCTTTTCCACCCACACCACAGCTATGATGGCAACAAAACTTGGCATTAAGGACTAGAAATTTTAAAACTGTATTGAACACAACCAGAGGTAGAAAAAGTGATCAGGAATGTGCTTTGTTTACTTCCTGTATGTGTTAACCAAAGCAGTATTTTCATTTATTGGCTTTTCATTCTTTAATGTCTAAATATAACAATCAACTAGAATTTAGTTACATACTTACCATCAAGGCATGAACAAATATTTTCATAGCTTTCATTTTAAACACAGAAAATCACCATTTATTTAGAAGAAACTTGTAACGTATTCGTCTCCAGATTAGAGGCGAGGACACACATTAGTTACCTTAATACCCTCATATTTAATCTTCATTATACCTGTAATTTTGGGAAATTCCTGTAGTGTTAAGAAGTGTAACACCATATAAGAGGTCTCTAATAAAGCATTTATGGAGGTAGACAAGACTTGAAAACAGTGAGCAATCAGTAGCAAGACAAATATTTTCAAGTTTTGCTTAAACTTAAAAACATAGTATGGAGCAATCCATCGGTGTAATCCAACATACATAGGTATACAGATGTCCAGTTGTACAGGTGTAAGGAAGTAAGACACTTAACTCCAAAACTCCTACATGTTACAGGATTACATTGACACTCACTATTTGGCCCTTCCATTGATCAAAGTAAAACCACACAAAAAATCCAAAACCAAACCAGTTTAGCTTAAAACCTTCAGAAGATACCGTAAGATGAGAAACAACTGATGTACTACCAAGAGCTACATACATCCAGTCTTGTCTTCTTGGGACCGTCAGCCATCAATGAAAGCATTCTGCTTCTGCTGCCCTTGTGTGGAGCCACAACGGTGCTGTATTCCGCATCCTCCTTCCCACTCCAGCTTCAGGCCTCACCAGCAAGGCAGCCAAGAGGTAGAGCACCTACTAGAACTGGTAGACGGGCACATCTTCAACAAACAAGTTACACTATTTTTCTTTTGGGGTCCCTGGGTACATCGCTGTGATAACCGGTTATTGACTCATCAGGGTGGGATGCTGAACACAGTAACTGAACCCCGACTCTGGATTTTTTATTTTTTTTGTCCTGTCAATCCACTTTGTGCCTTTTTATTTTTTTTAATTTAAAGAAAGAATCCTGTGCCTCCACAATTAGCCACCCATTATAATTCTCTCCAGATTAACTCATTTTTTGGAAAACTACAGGACTGGCAACAGAACGAAGCTCCGTATCCGCAAAAGAGTTGCAGTCAAGCGCAAGTGTTATGGGGCAACTATGTTTCCACCCCTGACTTAGCAGAGATGGGTGCACAGGTACAGTTTATTTCCCATGTTACTCTGTCCCTCAGGCTGTGGACTAAGCAAGCCAAAACTGCATGTGGCAACATACAGTACTGTTCCACGTACCATTTCTTTTCACACTGGAACTGAAAACTGCCTAAAACAATACTATAACTACATATGCATAGCTAAATTTGAGTCAGGGATTAAAAACTTTTTTCAGTTAGCAATTTGGTAAGCCTTTCTTTATCTACGCACTGAACAAGTGCATACGTCTACTCTGAAGCGTTTTCAGAGAAGTGCTTTTATAGATGGAATTTACATGCAGGGTAATGAGGAAGAAAAATGACAACATACACATAATACACAGCTGTTTTTCAAAAATCAGTTTTATCTTTAATTGTTACATTCTAAACAGGATATATGAAAGTTAGTCATCTAGCAGCTGTATACCTCTTAAGAGATGAGTACAGAATCACAGATAAAAAATACACCTAACTCCCAAGATGACAGGTGCTAGAGAAAGTATGTGCCTTACATCATCAATCCAGACAAATGCAGAAAGATTTTTATAATAAATATTTCATCATATACTAACTCCTGAGACTTTACCCATGAAAAGAAAGGGAAAAGATTTTTTTTAAAGAGATATCATACACATACAATATATTAAGCTATTAAAGAAAAATAGAACAAAGTGCCAACACTGTCTTGATATGCACTGCATTTGAGTTTATCTACATCACAGTACTTTAAGTATGCAGCTCAAAGTGTCAGTGTCAATTTAAGTCTTGCCTTAAATCTGCAAACATCACTTGACATACAAGCATCTTGAAAGTACAAGTGCAAGAAACCAAATGATGAATACAGCCAATCAGGATTTCATTCTCTGATATGAAAACTACACTGCAAGATTTAGATTTCCAGTACCTAGCATTAGTCGGCAGAAAATCCAAATATATTTACAAAAGGTCTTTACATAAAGTGATTAGTGAGCTGTAAGTAGTTACTGTGTTCCCAGGTACTTTTTAACCACATAAATAGTAGAGAGAAATATATAGTTAAAAAACACCATAAAGTTACAACTGTAAATAAGGTACCACAATGGCAACCCAAGATACCTTAGGGTTTGTTTTTGTTTTCTTTTCAGTTTTGTTAGTAAAAGCCATTTGAAAGTTTAAAGATTTTAGGTTTTGGTTAACTAATCTTTTTAAATTGCTTCCACTCCAGTATATTCCTTCAAACACTTTTTTCTCTCTTTTTTTTTTTTAAATCAATAATGAATCATCCAAGAAAACCCTTATGAATTGGCAGGATCAGGAAGACATAAGTCAGCTCTTTCAATTAGTCCACTTTACTTCCTTGGAGTTATTTTACTGAGACACAATTAACTCAGCACAACATGACGGTCAAAGACAGATTTGCGCTGCTCTTGGACCTGTAACTTCCAGCGCTGCTGGGCATACTCCACTTTGTTCAACACATTGGCACGGCTCCGAGAACGAGCCAGCACGTCATGCGCATTTGCAAAAGGCTGGTGATCCTGGAATGGCAAAAAATATTAGTTAGATCTCAAGAACTGCACTGAGCAACTACATGAGTCTTTTTTGTTGTTACATTCCAAAGGATGTGGGGGTTTTTTTGGTTTGAGGTTTTTTAAGGTAAACAAGCTGTTTCAACAAGCTGGTCAGTAATAACAACCAAGCAAGGTTTTGAATAGTTAGAACTGTGCTTCAGTTTCTTACTCAAAGTAACTTCCAGAGGTTTCCCAAATAGACCAAACATCATTGTACTGTCAAACAATTATCTGCTGCCCAGAGATATCATGGTGAGCTGCAAGATCAGAACCAGAGTCTTGTAGCCATGGGCAGCTGGTGGGACAGAGGTGCCAGGAGCCTCCTGTTACTGTCGTGAGTGCACTTCACTCTAAAAATGAATTAGAGAGTCAGCTCTCTGCCAGCTCTCAGCCGCTTACTACGTAGCAAATGCACTCCACTTTAAAACTGAATTGTTATTGTTGTGAATGCATTTCACTTTAAAACGGAATTAAAGAGTCAGCTCTCTGCCAGCTCTTAGCCATTTACCGTCAGGCAGTTCAGGATGTTCACACACAGCTTCTATATAAAACCAACACACTCTGCTGTTTACCAAACTAAACCTATTGTACTGAGCTGTCTAAAAGCACAGTCAATACAGCTGTTTAGCTGACAGCTCAACAATAACCCAGTGCTTGTTTAATATTTACTGTCTGTTTTCTAACAGTACTTGCAAAACTATTTTCTTGTAGTAAATATAACCAAGTCACAAACAGTAAGAGTTCGAACTGAACTTATGTGGCTATCAAACTCTTTTGGACATAAACATAGTCATGTTGCTAAAGCTATTTCAGAGAGCATCATATATAAAATGCATAATGAAAAATAACATAATTATATCCCGTAAGTGTATTTTTGTACATCTACACTTCATATTCCTTCCCCGCCCTCCCCCCGCCCCCAAACACTTTTGAAGACATTTACATTAATGGATACTTTATTTGCGACATGACTGTGTAGGGTAGCTCAATGATAATTCTTAGCAGTACAGAGATTATTAGTAATGATACCCATTAAAGTGATGCCTACAAGTCCCAAAGCCACACGTGAGCCTCACTGGGCTAAGGAATATGCTCACATAGAGTGAGAGACAATCTCTGACCCAAAAGGGCTATAAACTCAGCATAAAAAATTACACAGTTGGATACACCTAGAATGGGCAGTTAACAGGTGACAAATCACTTCATTCATAGGGGGAAACAAAGTCACAATAGCAACACATTTCTACCGTAAAACACGTGGTGGAAGGGAGACCACAGGACAAGCTAGCTGCTACTCGTGTTCCTGATAAACAACAAATCTCATCTTGAAGGCTAGCTACTGTTAATTTCTATGTAGACAAGGGGAAAAAAGAATTCAAGAGGAAAGATGTCTATAGAAGTGGTTTACATTCACCAGTTGCCATTGCCATCAACGGGCAATGAGAAAGGGCAAACATACTGGCTTGAAATTCAGCAACAAAATCGATGCACACAGTACTTCCAAAGTGTGACAAGGATCAAACTTGCAAGAGGGAAGGTAAGGATGGGGCTAAGTCATGAGGGACCTTAAATTATTTCACATTCACTGTCACAGAAGGAGGATAAACAGGAAAGGAGCAACATGAACTAAGCAAGGACCAGAAGTGTATTTTGTTCCAAGCGCTACTGAAGATATACACGCTAGTGACTCCAAAAGCACAAGGTAATAGACACAGTAACAGTTACAGCAAAACATGAAACTGGTTAAGACAGATCCAGATTTTAAGGTGAATTCATTCTGCAGTTAACTTGAGCTCTGCTACGGGACTTACTTCTTCCACCTATAATCAAAGCTTCTAACCCAGATTTGGGGGTAGTAATATAATTTATCTAAGGTATAAAATAAAAATAATCTGTCTGAAGTATAGCATACAGCACAAGTTCATGTAATTCAAGTAGGAATCTTCCCAATTTGCCGTAAGAATAGAGACAGAAAAAGGGTCATTCAATACCTCCTTTCACAAAAAAAAAAAATCCACCAATATCCTCCTAGAAGTGACTAGCAAAATCTCAAGATGTCAATATAAAGATATTTGGAGTATATCTTCAACTAATATACAAGGAAGTACAGAAACAGTGGGACATAATAGCAATAGTGTATCTCTGTCCAAAGAACCTTCATGCCAGACAATATTAGCTCAAAATTGGGTAACAATCACATATTTTTGTTGTGAAATCAAGGTAAATAGAGAAGACCAAGCTGATAAAAGCTATTCTCTAGAAAAATGCTTGATTGTGAATACTTAATATCCGCTCTTTGCAGAAGAGAAACCCCTTTTAAGTCAAGATAGCCAGTGTGGCCACTGTTGAAAAAAAATGGTAGAACTAAAGAATATGCCTTTCCTCAGTTTACTAGCAATGACAGTTGTCACTCCAAAACCAAAAATCAACCTGAAGAAGCTGAGTGCAACTCACATTAAAATCTGCAGATACACAGCATAACAGAGCATAGCATTTATTGCTTTTTGATACCTTCAGATCTGCGAGTCCACTGAAGCAATCAGAACTACAATGCTTTTAAGCAGATTTTAAAGACCACTGCCATCATAAGTTTGTTTCATCAAGAACAAACTTACTTATCCCCTCCTATTAACTTCCTACTTATTTGAAGGAATGATGAAAATATTCTTAACGATTCCATTGTACGACACTAATAAATGCAGTAAGTCTTCTTAACTAGCTCCCACCTACTTTAACAGTAACAAAGTGCTCATGTCTGCTGAACGGCTGAGGTGAAGCAGACAGCAATCTTTCGGTTTCTTACTCTGGGTTTGGTTTCAGCAATTCTAAGCTTATGCCACATCTGAAGCACACTTTATCAGTAAAAACAGTGCTGCTTGAGGGCTCAATATAAAGTACATTGATGTTGAGAGTTCAGAACTGTTATCAGTTTGTGTGGTTCAACACCACAACCCAGCTGCCATCTTAGAAAGCTTTCCTCACAGTAGTTTATGGACATACTTCTCCCAGGCACACAGCTTCATCAGGTTCAGCTGCACACAGATTCACCACATGCAAAGCCATAGTCCATATTTTTATACTATTCTAAGTTCCCCTTCAATACACAGATGACATACTCCCACCAACCAGTATTCCTTACAGGTACTAACGTGCCTCACTTCCCAATGCAAGGTTTCATAAGGTCTTACTGTGTTACAGGTCCCTTCCTGTAATGGTAACAGGTCATAAGGCTACAGGTCCCTTCCTGTAACAGTACTGAAGATGATTTTGTTCCATTTTCATTAGAAGTCAAAAACCCTGTGTTGGAGATCAGGAAGACCAGCAATAACAGGAAACAGAGTCACTAATGGGCTACTCCCCTTTTCCTCCCCAAGAACAGGCTGTTCTGATATCTACTATCACATCTGGTTTCCAGCAGTAATATTAAGAAATTATTTCAGCATCAATTGCTCTATTACTTCATTACAACAATTTCTACTTGAATTTCTAGCATCAGCAAATTCAAATTGGAGCAACAGAAGATGCAACCCCTCTACTTTCTTTCTGTACCCAGAAATCTAAGCAGTAAGCAATCTGCATAAGTGTGATCACTAGCAAGACCGTACGGATCGCTAAAACTTGAGAAGTTGAACCTCCTACCCTCCATTCCTACTCTGTTTCTTCTACAAGAAAATAATCTGTGTCTAGAGCTTGGATAACTGAAGCAGTCCTTATCTTGCTACTTTCTAGCACAGTGAAAAATTAAAAAGTGTCTTCAGAAAAGTCATCACACAGCTTGCTTCTCCTCTCCCTTCAGGAAAAGCATTTACACTGCCTGGCAAAAAAAAAAGCTGCTCATCCCAAGAAGTTATTTAACAATTAGCCATAGCAATCTTTATATTAACACAAGGACACCAGAACTCTGGTGAACTCACCCCAATGTCTTCATCACTTTGTATGAGTTGCGAATGTCCAAAGAGACGTCTCTTCAGTATAGGTTCCACCAGTGTAAGGTACACCATGTACAAAAGAAGTAGGCCCAAAATAGACAGGTATATGATGATTGTAACCTAGGTAACAGAAGCACAGGTTATGTCAGAACTGTGACATTACCCCCATAGTCTCTCAGCAGGCAGCAAGGACCAAAAGAAAAGCACATGCAAAGTTTGGGATGAGCCTGTTGATCGTTGGTAGTGTCACTAGAAGAATTAAAACCCACAAACAGAGTAAAAACACCTAACTACGACCTGGTATTGAAATTGTTTAGGGCAGATAGCTGTTCGCTTGCAACAGTTTTTCTTACTGAGGCCTTGCTAAAAGTCTTATGCTATCCCTCTTAAAACAATTGGGTGTTACAAATCTCACCTCAACCAAGACAACTGTTCAGTTTGCCCATTAAATTGGGGTTACAAATTTGGGGGTACCTGCGTGGTTTCCATTCTCTAGCATAGATCAGTCACTAACAAAAATGGGAAGGCAAAAAGAAATACCAAACTTCTAAAAGACCAAAAATAGGAGCCTATGTTACAAAAGAAGAAAAGATGCACTGCACAATCTATTCACGGCAGCCCAGAGCACAATGGCTCCAATCGAGTAAGAATGTGAAGAATATAGGAACCATCTGTTAGAGCAAACACGGACAATTTTGCTTTTTAGCTTCCCAATGAACAAAGAAACTTTATAGTAAGAAAGACAGCCGAATAATGAGAGGCCCTCTAAAATAATAACAAAAACAAAGTCCAAAGCTTCACAAAAATGCCCTAGCACACTCAATTTCAGCAAGGTGTAAAGTTTGATCTCTGAAGTGGAGGTCTTCCATAAAGCATCTCAAGCCTGCTCCTTCAGCTGTAGCTTGATGCTACCATTACTACTCAAGATAAATTGTGAGCAACTATCATGGAAAAAAGTTAATCTTAGGCTGCTTCAGAAAAAAAATTCCCTTTAAAAAGAATATTTCTCTAAAACACAACAGACACATTTACTAATCAGCTGAAGTATTTAATGTATGCCAACAGAATTACATTGTTTACCTTAATTGTGACAGAGCTTCTCTCTTCGTATTTGCATTCACAACGTAAACAGTATGCTTCTACATCAGGTCCAGGGACGGGCATAGGCTCAACCACATGAAGACAATCGCTGAAGAAAGACAGAAACCACCCAGGCAGCTTTGAGATGGTTTTAGTTTACCCATTCCACTATGCATGCAGACCCCAGCTGCACGAGCTGAGAAGCCACCTTTGCTTAAGTTAAGCTGTTCTAAATTTTAAGTATTAAAAAAAAAAAAAAAAAAATTACTACCCCACAATTATTTTACTTAAACAAGAAATTCAGCTACTGACAAGCTGCTAAGCAAATCAAGACATTTCTAACTCAATACAATATTTTCATTTTTCAGTGAAACGATTACAGCTGTTACCGTAACACGTCCAAGGATCTGAATTCCAGCACGAACGTATCATTTGGCACTGAGATCATGGATGAATGTAAATTCCAGCTATTCACTTCCTTCTTCATCCTACCCAAAAGAGCCTTATTCTATCTTTCCACTGTCTGAAGGGAGATTAACCTCTCTTTGGTGTTAATGAACAGAAGTTCTTTTTTCTTGCCATCACAAGCTGCAGCCATTGAAGAAAAAAGTCAGATGGGTTGTTTCTCTAAGCGATTGTGAATAAATAGCATTCAATTTTCAGCACTGGACCTGGATCCAAAAGCATAATTTGACTTAAAAGATCACAAAATACAAGCCAGCCCCAGGCCAAAAAGTGTGGCTGACAATCTTGTGGGCGCTCTACACCATGGCACTAAAATCCAGCTGCCATGAGACAGCTGCTTCCACCAATAACTTAGGTAATTTTGGTCTTTCTGCTGGCTCAGGTTGGTTGTTCAGAGTTCACGTTCTGGGGTCCCTGCAGAGCACTGACAACAAAAATCCTGTTCTGCCTTTATCCCGGCTAACTCAATGTTACACATCACAGTCAGAGGCAGGTAATGAACAAAACGCCTGACGTGATAGCAGCAGCTCAAGATTCACCACTCTGCTGGGCTAGATTACAACACTGCAAACTCATGGCCAGACACCAACTCCTCTCTTGTTTTCTTTCCATTTCTTCTTCATAACTAAACTAATGAGTGTCAAGCCACATCCTCCACAGAAGAGCAGAAGGCTTACTTTTCTCATTTATTTGAAAGCAGAATTACAATCTCCTCTATGGAGGAGTGCAGCATTCAAGCTACAAGATCAAAAATATGTGCAAGTTATAATCTATGCAATTTCTGGTGCAAGCTTTCAATCATATGAACAATATGCTGCACAAGTATAGCAGAAGGCTTGTATGTAGCTTAAGTACAGTAGTAAGTCTGTTACTGTGAATGTATCAAATATTAATATCAGCATTTTTTCCTCCAGTGTTTCAAGTTGCTAGGCAGTGTAAAATCTATCAAAACCTCAGAATTTTGATGATGGACTTCCTTGGATTGTGATTCCATGGCAATTTTAAAAGAACATGTAGAAAAGGCTGATCCTTTTCTAAATGATTTTCCCACTCAACTGCGTCTATGTTGCCACCTTCTCTCTTGCTCCCACAGTAACAGAACCAAGGAAGTATTTCTTCCAAGGCAGCTTCTGCACACACAGATTTCCAACACGCGCAGCTTGTAGAGAGGGCGTCCTCCCTCCCTCCCTCCATGACTACCACTGCAGTCGGCCTACACTTGCCTGGTGCATTGTCATCAGGACGGGATTGCCTGCAATAGTCCCAAGCCCGAGCCCAGAAGGGTGAACACTTGTACTGGTGTCCAAGCACCCCAGCCCCTACTGGCACTGTTTGCCAGCCTGAAGCCAAAGAACAGGCCACACCAAGTGAAAAACTGAAACATGTAAATAAGAACAACACGATGTACATTACAGTTTCAATATTAAAAATAATATTTTCATTTTAGGTCTGGGACAAGCCAGCAGTAAGTGGTCATTACTGTACATAATTCATAAAGACACTAAAAATTGACCTGGCTCGTGTCTCATGAGTGACTGATCTAAATACCCAAAGGATGGTGTACATCAGCCAGTTCTATTCAATAACAAGTCACCTGCACTGACCCAGAGGCTAAACTACAGCACCGTTTGCCAATTTTATTGCACATGAACTAGCAATCAAGCCTTTTAGAAGTGGCAAGAAGACACCTCAAACAGAAGATCAAAGCCATAAAATGTTCCCAGATGGCCACTTAAGAAAAGATCTCAACAAAATGAGATTTAAGATGGAAAAACAGATTTTTGAGATTCTGTATAAATCAGTATCTGTCACCACAAAATTAGTCCAGCCTTTAAAACTAATTTTTCCTTCAGTGAGTACCAATATTGTTTTGAAGGGAAACAAAGTCTTCTCTGCTAGTAAGGCACACACTAAGCAATACCCACTGAAGAAAATCCAGTTTCATTTGCAGAGTGGTAACGAACAATAAAACCAGTAACACTGCTACTCAAAGGCCTGCTGCAGCTGGAATTCTCCCAGTATGTTTCATTACTGCAACTTTATTTGTCATAGTAGGACTAATGTTAAATTAATCATGTGGGATGACAATAGTAATTTTGATTGGACAGTACACTTTATGTTCATTAGTTTAGATTGAAATTTACAGTGTTGTTTCTCACAGCTCTCCTGCAAGTAATTTAGTAAGTCAAGGCACAGCTCTACACACACCTGTAGTGCTAATTTTATTCCTACCAATATTTTTGTGTGCCTGCTCAGGAGGATGAAATTTTCATAATCAAGACAACCTGCTCCTACTCGTCAGACTGAAAAGTCTTTTACAAATTCTTAATGTAACTCAAGAATAGTCAAGACATCAAGAAGTTTGTCACGTTTTTATAGGCTGACCCAAGAATCTCTGAGCACTTCCAACATCAATGCAACTCTAAAACATGATGTTTTATTTGTATGATTCACATAGATGATGATACTCAATGTGAAATTACACAAGGGAGCTATGTCAACACAATAAATCACGGTCATCTCCCTTTCTTCCCCAAACCCTCATCCCTGGCCATGTACATCAGTCCTCAGCTTGGAGGGGAGCCCGACAAATGCCGTACTAATTATAGATGACTCAGGCCATCTCATATGCTAGCATTCTCTGACTACAGTCCTGAGGAACAGAAATCTCCAGAAACAATAGTCTCTAAATGATACAATGGGTTTCAAGAGTACAGAAAGAGAAGACAACACTCCCCAAGTCCTAGTTCCATGGCTGTGCTCCCTCACCTTCACGTCATTTCAAATCACTGAATTCAAACTACAACACCTTCTTCCCTTCTACTATTCTGAAGTCTAAACAAATAACTAAATATGCAATCAAGCAAACAAAACAGAAGACAGGGCAAAAACTACGGATTTCAAGCCTTATCCCTTGCTAGAGCTGAATTCTGGAATACTTTTAAAAGAAAAGTTTGAGTAAGTTACGCAAGAGATGTAACTTCTCCTAGCACCACCACAGGAGAATCACACATAATCACTGGGGAAAAAGTCTTTAACTAGTAAGGTTGATTTTTTTTATGCTATACACACTCACCAGTCTTTCTGTGAAATATTTTTGTTGTAAATATGGCCTGAATGGTCTTTGTAAGGAGGGCAGATGCATTTACATCGGACATCCTCAGAATTCTGTGAAGTAAACAACGTGGTTAGAAAAAATCATCAGTAATTGTAACAGGATACAGAAAGCACTCTTCATGTAATACATGATATACTCAACATAAACTACTTGCAGCTATCTTTGAATAGTCTTACTTGAGATTTCCTTCAAGTTTAAGAACAACCCTTCAAAATTACTAAGCTAGCAGAGCAATTTGTCAAGTAAGACTATTATTTTAGATAGCAAACGTGTGTTCTTTATGAGAAAAATCTGGAGTTCGAGCTCACTCGTCTTTTTAAGAAATAACACACATTCAGAAGTTACTGCTATTGGTATACTCAACTACTCAATTTATGAGGAAAGCTGTGTAACAGACATGGCAACAAGCTGAAAACAAATGAAAGAATAATAACCACAAATGGAGGTTTGCAAAGAAGCCTCTGTGCATAATGCTGTCCTCCCTGGCCAGAACAGAAACATTTTTGTAAGGAAAACTATCAAGGGAACTAGTACAACCTACAGTCCTCTTGTCTTCAACAGCAGCAGGGTATTGTGAGGTAGAGAAAAAAAGTACAAAATTGGAATTCCAAACAAAAGTAAAGTAAATGTGAAAAATGATGGAAACTTGTAAAAGCAAGTTTTACAGAAACAAATTAAAATTTGCATAAGAAGCAAGAAGCACTGCAGAAAGCAGCAGGGAGAATTAACTGTTATGGACAGCGAGAAAGAGGCAGCACCCAAAATTAACATTTAGACCACTACTGAGAAAAACTGAATGTCAGAAAGAGATAATTTTGTGTAGCATATTAAAAAAGGATTATTCCTTCCTCTCGCTCTCAGCACAAGAGCTGAACACCCAATGGAGAGAACAGAGATGGTCTGGAAGGGGTTACAGACAAAAGCATTCTCAAACCCCAATCAGAGCAAGTTATTTGAGTACATAATGAGAGACAGAGGATAAATATGACTTCTCTAAAGTTCAAGGCAATTTCTAACGGCACTACAAAAGAACGTCTTAAGAAGTATCGGTAATAAACTTCTACACTGAACAATCGGGTCAGAGTAACACCGGGTATCGGTGAGTTGGAAAACCCTGACTACGCTGAACACCAAGGCACTTCTGGCCTCGCCACAGGAAAACCAAATCGCTGCTTAGCACTAAAAAGGAAAAAATTAGACGCGCGGGTACTCTGACAACAGGAAAGGCTTTTACTGTCAGGAGACGCGGCGCCCCCTGTCAGCCAGAGACGCCAAGGCTGCAGCAGGC